CCTCAGAATTCCAGCTGTCACAGCATCCCCTTAGTCATGCATTTGAAATGGGTGCTTGCTGCCCATCTCACAAATATGATGTTGCAGTGAGTTGTGGTTGCAATTGTGATTTCTAACATAACCAGCTACCCATAAACAAAGTCACTGAAGAAACTGATCAGAAGTCACTCCCACTCCTGCCACTTTTTCAGGTGCTCTGTAGCACCTTGTGGGTCTATGACAATTCACCGCAGCCAACTCATCATGGCCAACTTGCCACGGCCAACTCACTGCAGGACAACTAATGGAACAAGAGTTATACTAATATCAAACAAATGGTGGAAAAGAATAATTAAAGAAAGGATGAAAAAGGAGGGACAAAATGAAATGTGAATGACAAAAATTAAAACAACTTTTTATTTATTTTAAAAAATTAAATCGAATTGTTAAATTGTCCAACAGTGAGTTGTCCCATAGTGAGTTGGTCATGGCCAGTAGTCCTATAATGAGTTGGTCATGGTGACTTGTCCTGTAGCTAGTTGGTTGCACTAGTTGGCCACAACAAGTTGTCCCATTCCATAACCTGCTTGCCTGGGACTCCTGTTCTTCCTGCTTAATAACCTGGGCAGTCCTGGGGTTATGATGGCAAGTCACAAAGATCGTGGAGATTGCTATCACTAAGCAATTCAGCCATGTGACATGCTGCATTATGACCACATTGCTTAGTGGTGGAAATTCTGTCCAAATTGCCATTGTAACATTATCTGTATAACTGGAAGCTAATGAAAAAAGTCAGAGACAGTTTTACAAACTGAGTTAAAAATTGTCTGTTTACCAGTGTCTATCAATTCTGCAAAGAATTTATATCAGCTCTTGTTGACAACTGATAGGATTGAATGCTGAATGTTTTAACTAGACTTTAGACATAGAGTGTTGTACACATGTAAATGACTATAAAACAATTGAATCCCCAGCTTTGAGGTACCATTAATGGTCTGAACAGATTAGCTGCTTAAATACTGTACATACAAATTGTTTAAATGAAAATATACCCATTTGTCTAAAGTGCATTAGAAAACAGACACTCCATTTAGCAAATCTGCAGTCAGGTCATGTCTTAGCTTTACTCTGTATGTAAGAAGCATTTTCTAATTTTGCAGGGTGGTTAGAGATCATTTTGTTGAGGATTCCATATTGATTACTTTTCCTAACCTAAAAGAAAGATGATGTGTTAGAAACAAATAGATGCCCTTATGACAAATGAATCTGAGAAAAAATGTCTCTGTAATAGATACTGAATACACACTCACTCTATGAAAATAAGTTACATTATTTCTTCATCGTTATTTCATGTTTTTTTTTTCTTTTCCTTTTCCCACTATTGGGAAACTGTTGGATTTTGGAAACTTTGCTGAATAACCTGTCTTCTAACCTCAAGAATGTTTGTGGACAATCTAACATCGATAAAACATATACCATAGCTAATATATTATATTTAATTTCCTAGCTAAAAATTATTTGAACTACATTTCCATATTTCGTCTCTGGGTCTTCTTACAAACTTCAAAATCTGAGCAGAAACTGATTTTATTGCTGTGATTTCTTTACAATGGCAGACTCAGTTTAGATCTTTTAACAAGTCATGTTTTTGGACTTGTTTATAATACTGTTGTTGCGCTACATGAGAACAGAAAGAATCTGGCATATTTCTGATTTTAATTAACATTCATTTTTGATATTAATTCATTTGAAAGGCTTATCTCATTAGTGTCTGAACGCATCTTCATTTTTGAATAAAGGAACTTGATCATGGAGATGGTTTTTTAACCCTAAGTCTCTCTCATCACTATAAGCCACTAGTGGATATCCATGCTTCATGATGAAACTATGTGATCAGGCTATGCAGGAGAAATTCAGTTCACAATCTATTGGCTCAGTGGTTGAAACACATAAGGGAGTATCATAATGGTGGGATTCACATTTTTTTACTACCGGTTCTGTGTACACGGCTTGGTGGATATGGCAGGAAAAGGATACTGTAAAATATCCATTCTCTTCCGACTCCAGGGGAAGGTTACTGCAAAATCCTCATTCCTTCCTGATCAGCTGGGACTCAGGAGGCAGAGAATCAGGGGTGGGTTTCTTGCCCCGTTCCAACTGGTTTGGTTGGAACGGGACCAGCGGCGTCCTCGTGCACGCGTGCAGCGCACGCATGTGTACTAGCATCTGTGCGATGCTCCAGCTGCTCCTGGAGGATCGCGCAGGCGCTGTATGCGTCCTGGGCATGCGTGGAAGCGCAGAACTCGTCAAAACTGGGTAAGGGACGCGGGCGGGCAGGTGGGCCCTTCGCCATTCCCGGAAGTTACTTACTTCCGGGTTCGTCAACCAACCGGTTCATGGGGACCGCCGCAAACCGGTTGACCCCCCCTGCAGAGAATAGATGTAGGCAAGGCCAGTCAGAGGTGGTATTTACTGGTTCTCTGAACTAATCAAAATTTCTGGTTCTCCAGAACTGGTCAGAACCTGCTGAATACCACCTCTGGAATATCGCTCCCACTGTCTTGAGTTCAGAAGCAGTTCCATAGGTGTAAGGCATAGACATTTTGGTAGGGTACCAACATTTACTACTGTAAGGAGCCCCAGACCGCTCCTAAGTAAAGGAGTGTAACATCTGCCAGTTTGAACTGATGTAATGGAATGTGAGGCAACTGGCAGTTGGAACAGAGTTCTCTTAGTGACGGTCAGTGATTGAAACACATAAGGGAATATTGCTCCCGCCGCCTTGAGTCAGGAAGCAGTTCCATAGGTGGAAGGCGTAGAAATTTTGGTGCGGTACCAACATTTACTACTGTAAGGAGCCCCAGATCGCTCCTGAGTGAAGGAGTGGAACGTCTGCCAGTTTGAACTGAGGTAACTGAATGTAAGGCAACTGACAGTTGGAACAGAGTTCTTTTCAGAAGGGGAGAGGGAGTAAAATATGTAGCTCCTTAGCATCAGAGCATGTTAATATAAGACAACTGGCAGTTGGAACAAAGTTCTTTTCAGGTGAGGAGGGGGAGTAGAATTCCTTAGCATTGGAGCATGTTAATTACTGTATAAGAAATACTAATGATCTGATGGTCATTTGAAAAAATCCTTTTTCAGTGAGCACCTAGAAGCCAAGAGGAACATATGTGCCAAATTTCAACAGTAGGCTTTACTGTTCTGGAGATTTTGTGATGAGTGAGTGGTATTTGGCTTTTATTTATATAGATTATGAGCAATATAAAACTATCAAACATTGAACCCAGAACTATGATTAAGAAAGGAAATTCTACTGTATTTTGCTATGTGAAAATGACAACAAAATAGGAAGAAAGAAAATAATTTTTTTTGCCACCTGTTATTATGGACGCAATATAATTATTGCAGTTGACTGGAGCAAGTTAGGAGTGGTTAAAAAGTTAATTTTCAGGTTGTAGGAAATATAAAAACCAAAGCCTGGATTGTTCTTCCTGCAAGAACTGTGAATGCCTGATCATACTTTAACTTGCCCTCAATGGGGTGGTCACATTGTATGGACAAGCGGGACAGAATGGAAATAAAATAAACTCGCTTCAGAAGCAAGTAATGTATTGTAAAAGCTTTCCGCTTCATAAATATGACAAGGAACAAAAGGGAGTAGCTCCCTCTGCTGGCAGAAAGACTATCATGCACAAGAGATAAAAGGGAGAAGGATTCGCTGGCTGGGGAATTCTGGGAGTTGAAGTTCCAGACATCTTCAAGTTGCCAAGGTTGAGAAACACTGATCTAGTTGCCCAGTGGATTTGCTTGAATCATTGCTATGGAGAGTCAAAGACAGAGGAGCCAAAGAAGATCTGGCTCAAAAGGAGGGAGCCAGACAGAGTTGAAGGAAAGTCTTCATGGGACTTTATGCAAAGACAATTGCAGTGGTTCTTTCAACGTGCAAGCTATATCTGTAGGATTGCTACAGAGAGGGAAGACTTTAATTTGGAGCAAACGTCCTTGCAGGTCCCTGGAGGATTTTCCCCCCCTTGAGATTACATTAAATTGCTTTAATGTAAACTTTGTGCTTATGTTACACCAGCTGTGGATCTGTATACTACATTTTAGAAGTAAAAGCTGCAAAAAAGTCACAAGAAGTGGGATAGTTCATTTTTTCTTGATGGATGCTCAAGAAGGGAGAAAACCATTATGTAGTAATGATTTAGTAGGGTTACTAGATATCTGAACCAGCAGAGGAAGACAAGGCAGTCAGAACGGGGTCGGGGTGGTGGGAGGGAAGGGGGGAGGTGAACACAATTCTTGGCATCTGTGACAAAAATTACATCCCAAACCTATATTTAAAGAGGAAAGAAAAAAAACTTAGGGCTTTTCCAGCATCAGAAAGATTGGTCTTTTAATCACAATATTTTTTCCAACAATTTTTTTTATTTTTTCCCAAGAACATATGCTAATGACAGTATAGAATCAATCAGGCATGTGCCAAATTTCATCATAAAAAAGTATGACATGGCATGTGATCTATAAATTACAATGATTGTAGATTTGAAGAGGCTGGATTAAAGCTGATTGCTGGAATCAGGAAATAAATAAGGTAGAACTTGGCTGTCTCATCTGTCAACGGATGAAGGAAACTAAGCAGCAGACAATTTACAAGGTCACAACACAAAACGTTGATTGACTACTGTTGTGAAAGCAGCTGGACAATATTTCATTATAAGGCTATGCTGCTGGACAGAGGACATGAGGAGAAAAAGGTGCTCTTCATTTCCATATTATTGGTTGGCAAGGAGATTCTTGCTTGGTTTCCTGCCATAAATTGTGGTAATATAAAGTCAGCAGATCATTTAGTGCAGGATGTCCAGGGGAGAAAATGGGCAGATGTCCTAATAGTTTGACAACCTTTCCCTGTGCAATAAATGATCCGGGAACAGGCTCACTGGAGCAAGATGGATGTTCTTCTTCAGTGGCATGAGTTACTACTAATGTGATTTTTAGCATGATTTTTTTTCTTTTAGTCATCCAGTGATGTGCTCTACTCTGTCCTAAGGGATCTGAGGGACACTGAAGAGCAGAAGAGGTAAGCCATTAATTCTCTTAAAGCCCAGGGCTTCCCCCCCCACCTCATAATTCTAATGAAAAGATTTGCTTTGACACCCTAAAATGCATTTTGCACTTGTGGGACCCAGGACCCAGGTTTTTAGTGCTGAAAAAGTTTGGCCGACAATAATTGAAGGATCTGTTCTTTTGGTTTCCCAAAAGTTCTTGTTCATTTGTGGAGCAACCTTGGTCCAGCTAATTAACTCACAAATGTATGAAGGCCATTTATGTTACTTATTTGACAGAAAAGTGAGATTAATATATAAACGGTAATTCTGGCCAGACGTAAAACTCCATATGCGCCAGATGCCTGGTTCTGAAAGAAGATGGGCCACTGACATAACAAATGATACGCTATTATGATGACTAGTGTGAATAAACTGTTATGCCTTAATAGAGCTTTTCTGTCACCAAATGGAACCATTTCCCCTGTTGTCATGGATAACATCTGGTGCCTGAATATGGAATATTTGGTTAAATGACATCCACATATTTGTCAACATGCTACCCAACATTCAGAGTGCCAGATTCTTACAGGAAAACCCTGATTTCCCTCAAGGTTTATATTATTACATCTGAGAATACATTTTTGCATTATTTTCCTCTTGAAGCTTAAGCTTAATTTCTAGTGGAAAGAAGGAATTCTGTCTCTTAAGGTATTATTCATATCATTCTCTGTGTGTAAATCTTTGAATTCCACTGTATGTTTCTGCCTAGAATGTGGCAACTTAATTGCCTTCTGCTCCAAAGAAGAAATTTGACTACTTTATCTTCTCCAAGCATAAGGAAGTGCTTGTCCTCTCACACTGCTACTTAACAATTTTGTCCTGATCCACTTTTTTTGGGGTGGTGGTGGTGGATCTATTTCAGAGTGCTAGTCCTGGATGCCAAGATCCTGGTTATGTCCCACAATCTTCCTGCTCGACTCTTCCCACAGTGGAGCTATAAAGTGTTGAATCTACCGGAGAGATACCTGAACTATGAGACTTTTCATGAGGAGCCGGTGGAGGCTACTATTTCTGAATGCCTCGCTACACTCTTGAAATTGGGCAAACATCTGCTAAGGTATCCCAAGGTATAACTTCTTCTCCAGCTGTTTCCGGAATGACCTTGAAAACTCCTTAAGCCTCTTCTATGTCTATGGTTACCACCCAAGGCTTGAAACAGTGCTAGTAACACAACCGTCACAGATTGTTCACCCAGTGAGACCCACTTCTCATACATCTAAACACTTATGCATTAACCAGTCTTCTCCACTAAAGGCAATAAAATTGAGGTCCGTTATTGGTCTTGCTAATTGGGGGTTGGGGGCAAGATGGAAGTTGTGCCTAGCAAGAGAGTTCCAGGGAGGAAAATGCTATTTATAAAACAAATTGACATGGCTGCCCAACTCATGCATGGTGACTCCGGGCATCTTCCAACGTTAAAATTTCACAATGTAAGAACCCATAAGCATCCTACCCCATCCTCCCAGCAGTGTCAACAACCACACAATCACACTAGCCACTTGATCAGTTCCATATCGCCCTGGATCCCCAGGCCCACTGACAAAAACCATGTTTTCAGGGCTTTGCAGAAATGTACCAAGATGGAGGCCAATCTTACCTCAGGAGAATGATATTCCAAAAGGAAGGATCCACCACAGAAAAGGCTTTTTCCCCCTTGGGCCCCTCATTTTATGTGGTGGTCCCAAACCTGCTCTCAGAAGCATGCAATAAAATCATGCAAATGCCTGGCATAATACAACAGGGAGGAAGAGGATAGGGGCCTAACTTTATGGACGTGGGAAGGGAGATGCAGAGTCTGCAGCCATGGCAGCCTATGTATCTAGCGACTTTTCCTCCAAGAGTCTCCAGCAATAAGACATGGCTGGGGAGATGTGGCGTGTGGAAAGGTGTTCCCTGATGTTTGGGACAACTAAAAAGTTGTAAAGTGGTCCCCTACACCCCTCTCACCTTTTGGTCTTTGTCCTGGGCAGAATTAAGCAGGAAAGGCACTGGAGGCAGATCTCTGGCTTGTGAAGGCTCAGGAGCCTCATTTGTTTCCCACAGTTGCCTGGGAAATACCCTTTCCTGCTCTGGCCCAGATATTCTGGCACAAACAGTCTAAGAATTCCAAACCAGAATGGCCCATGATTGCATCACCTGGGAACTTGGGGATTTGCAATTTCAATTTATTGAAGGCAGCAAATTACGGAGGTGCCTGTAGCACTTTTTACTGTGGGTGTGATAGACAGAGACTCACTTTTTACTTCCCCCATCCCACTCCATGAATGATAGCTATTATTTCTTTCTGGTGGAGATTTTCAACTAAAGTATAGTAGAAGGGTTCTTTTTTTTCTTTTCTTCTCCACATCTTTTCCTTAACAGTTTAAAAAGTATTTCAGCTGGCAGCACTGCTATCTAGGAGCACGGCTATTCACTGTCCTGATGATTCTTATGGGAAGGAAGCATCTAGATTTGGGGCAGACAATCCCCCTATCCCTTGACAGAGTGGCACTATCACAGCATCTACAACTGCTACAATTATTTGATTGATGCTCCTATTCCTGCCCAGTTTCACCTTTCAAAGGAAGAAGAGGTGTCACAGATGCCTTTGTTGCTTTTCCATTGTATTAGCTAGCAAGCCACAGCGTTTTCCACAAGGGGGTTTGCCACTGTGTTTATTTGCACTTGCTGGGCTGTGGAAAATTACCTGATGAGCCGCTGCTTCTTCTCTCCCCTTCAGAGCCCTAAGAACTTACCAGACCATTTCTTGGAAAAAGTCCCAGAGTTCATTGTTTCCCAAGACACCATTGGTTTCCTCCTGGAGTGTCAAGAGTTATTGAAACCAGCTCAGTTCCTGCATTTATTTGAATCTCCTCTGAATATCCAGATGGACTCAGGTATGTGGTAAACTGAACCTGAAGGTAGGAGGAAGGCCTAGGGTAATTTTTCACTGTGTGACTTTAAAGCCAGGTTGAGGAAACAGAGGATTATAATACTACAGAACAACATATTCCAACTCATTACTGGCTACGCTGTCTGGTGCTGGAGGATTTATAGTTGATCATCTGGTGAACCATATGGCTTAAGATGATCATTGCATAAAGTTGTCATCAGCCTAATTTGGGAGCCAAATTAAGCCACAGCAGTAAGGTATTATATCCTGAAATCAATCCACATACTACTGGGGGATTTTTATATTAAGCAGAATGAAAGATCATGAAAAGATTTACCAAACCTACTTGGATAAGCAGCTGAAAAAACAACTAGTAGTTATATTTCTCTCTTATGTAGTAGCTCACTGCTGCATAAGTGTAATAAAAAAGTCTTTATTGCAAATAAGCATCTGCTATAGCTTGAACATTAGTGTAAGACTAAACACATCCTGTCAAAACCTGAACTAATCTATGACGTCTTATGTTCTGATTTTTATAACTGCACAAATATGATAGATACCCAACTGGGACAATTTTATTCAAAGGAATTTATGGCACATATAATAGAAACCTAAGGACGTCATTGTGTTTACTGTGCTCAATGGCCCTTGCTTGCATAAGATTATTACACCCATAAATATCTTAAATTGCAAACCTTTGAAATAACAAAATAGAGTGCTGAGTGAAAAGAGAATCTTGTCACATTACTTTCTTTAAGCTTTGAGGCTAATTAGGATAAATAACAGGGCTCTTGTGCATGGTACCTGTCAGTTTATAGGCCATTCTAATTAGCTATCTTCTTTTCTTTCTGGGGTACTAGAACACAACCTTAAAATCTATATAGTTTTCAAGGCAATACCACTATATTATCAAAATCAATGATAAACAAAGCCACGTAAAAACACTAAAATAAATATTAGAAAATGAATTATAGAAGCCAGCTGGTTCCTGATACTACATATTCATCTAGATAGGGTTCTGCAGAGTGGCGTAACTTTATTCCTATGAATTATAAATCACTATTTCAGAAGCTGAAGGTATGTTTTTAAATCAAAGAGAAGATTGAAAGGGAATAGCCACTATGGGCAATTTTGTAAAGATGCGGTCAGTTTTGCAAAGCTCTGCTGCTACAGAAATTTTGTCATAGGCTCGGTCTTGTGGATACCTAGCCTTTAAATGTATGATCAAAGATCTGCAAAGGCTGGAGAAAGACATTGGCCCCTAGGGGCCTACCCTATTCTGTGCGGAAGACCTGATTTAATACCTAAAAGGAGTGACTGAGATTTGTCAGTTAGTAAAAGTAATCCAGGTATCAGCTTTGTTTACATGCTGTGTACCCAACCTCCTTGATTTTCCCTTTTGGAATCATTGTGGAACAAACATTTTGTGGGTTTTCTCTGATTTGGAGATGGAGAAATACAGTTACCGGTAATGGCTCCATAAGCATGGAATTCCACCTGCATACAATTGTCCTTCCATTTTTTTGGCAAGTACTTCCCATTCCTCCTATTAAATATAAATAGTACTAATAAATTTGTTAGGTTTGGACCAACGCTCAAAGGTATTACTTCCCGTGTCTGGAGCTTCCCACCCCAAATTTAAGATTTAGACTTGCAGTTACAAAAAGATAAAAGTAGGAATAACATATTGACAAGGGACAAAAAGACTAAACAGGATTCAGAACAGTTAGATTAAAGCTAACAGGGATAAAAAAAGAAGTATCCAAGATCCATGAACTGCCGAGCCATGCAATCTTAAAGAAACAGCTTTTGGCCATTACGTGAACAGAACTTTTGTTTTTTTGTTCATAAAAGCACTTGGGAGACAAAAGCTTGTATGGATGCTGTCAGCCTTCTTTCCTATACAAATTACTATAGAGGGTTATTCATTTAGGTAAAGTTCCCTTAAAATTCATACCAATAGGCTCCAGGGGAGTGACTGGGACTGGTTACTTTTTAGGACTAAATAAAATATAGGAGCCTTTTAAACAAGTGATGATCTTTCCCAGTGTTGGAAAAACCCATTTTCCGATAAGCATATTTGTCTGGTTTCTCTGCATTGCTCCCAGTAGTATCTGGCAATTATGACTCAGGGGAAATAAATCTTCCCTGTTATAATGCTATAATCCCAATCTGATTCGCTTCCCATAGTATTTATCTGAAAAAATATATATCCAGCTCTGATTTAGAAGTTCTCTTGAGTTCTGTGTAGCTGGAGAACTAGAAGAGCATTAAAAGATTAACATTGCTCTCTATAAGACAGAGAAAGAAAGAAAATAGAAAGATAATCAATTTACCCTTCTGAAGGGAAAATAGAGCCACTGTGGGGACTTCAAATTGGCTAGGCCAGAAATATTTTAGCTGCTTCCATATATATATATATTGCCAGAAGCTATGTTGAGATTTAAATATCTGTCCTACGAGTTCCCACCTTCCTTGGGGTAGTGCAGGCAGGCCAGGCAAGGGGTGAAGTTGTATACTGTTACAATAAAACCACCTTTCCCAAATTTCATTGTATTGTTTTCATTGTTCACTTGTGAAAGAGGGTTAAAATTACATTAAAGGAAGGTGTAATGGCCTTCCTAAAAGTTTAGAAACCCTTGATCTATCATGTATTACAGCAATAGTAGGCAGAGGATACACAAAGGGAATGCTTTCGGTGTCTACGTTCCTGACAAATAGCAGTAATTACTTTCCTCACATTAGGGTTCTGCTACTGTACAGAATTCTTGAGGCGCTGGATAACCTAGAAATGGTATTGTGTATGTGACTATAATTCTGAACACTGAAAAACAAATCGTCAAGCTGCAAGGCACTGAATCCTTTTATTCTAAGCCCTGCATTAAGGGAGCCCAACACAAATCAGAGTGGCAGTTTAGTCTATGAGTCAATGCAGGAAAAAGTGGGGAGATTGATTCTTTCCCTCACACTTCGCTATGGCTGCATGAAACAAATAAAATGCTTAATGAATGTGCACACATCCTCCATATCTATGGAGATTCTCAGTCATCCAGGTCATGGTTATCCCAAAGGTGCTTTTTAAAAAGGCAAATTGACTCCCCCCCCCTTGAAGAAGTTTTGCTTCTCATCCAAAAAGCTTGTTCAAGGAAACAAAACAAAAAACAAAAAACTCCCTCCCTCCAAATCCAGTTGCCTTTTGAAAAAGCACTTTTGGGACACACAGCTATCTCAGCCTTTGCAGGAGCCATTCTAACCAAGGTTGGAAGCTTACCTCATTCCCACCTAAGGCAGCTAACATGTGGGGCTTGCAGCGATCCAGAATGATGGTTGTGTGGGATTGGCATAGCATAAACGAGACTCAGATGTTCATTAAAATTTTGCCCACTGTGGACATAAGATTGTGATCCACTTGTGTGCTTGTGAACCAAAATTTGGCTTTGGCATGTCATTGGAGCGGTCATTAACAAGGGCTTTCTTCAGAGCAAGTTAGTTCTCCAATTAATGTAGTCCTTGTTTTGGTCAAAGGATTTGTGTTTCGAAGTGATAACCCAGCATCCATTTAACATCTTCATAACCTGCAAGAAGGTACAGTATGACAATATCTCCCCACCCCCTGTGGTCTGTGATACAAGCATGATCCTTTCCGGTGCATGAGTAAGAGGCACAGGATGTTAACTGCTAGTTAGACTAACGTCTCCGCTTGACACTAGAATTGCTTTTATGTGCTTGCCACATTAACATCACTGGCTGTTGCAGTACAAGTAGTCCTTGTTTACCGACTGCCTCATTTAGTGACCATTCAGTTATGGTTGTGATGACAAAGTAACTTTCCAACTCATCCTTGCAGTTATGATCTTAGCAGGTCTTTGAAGCAAAGGAAAGCTAAGATCGGAGGCACATCCACGGTTTCACTTAATGACCACTTCACTTAAAGATTGAATTGCCAGTTGTGGTCGCTAAATGAGGACTACCAGTAGAAGTACAGGTTTGAATGTTAACTGTACTGTAGATGAGCACTGGTTGGAGCAAGCTGGCTCCAGGTAGATTTCACAACACAAACAATATTAATAAAAATAGACTAACAGCTTAACTGAAGATAAAGTTGATTGTAAAAAATGTTAGTAGTAAGAATGAAAATTTCCAGAGCTTCTTGGTTGTAGTCCACCACTCTGTTGCTTTCTAAAGTCCCTGTGAGCTATGAAAGAAACAGTCAACTAGTGACTTTGCTTAATCGCTGTAACCTTATTTAGATGCTGCTAAATTAGCTAGACTGGGAAAGAAAGCAAGTTTAATTCCGAATAAGGATACAAAATGAGACAAACTCCAGGAATAGTGTTGAACTATGTTATGTGTGAGGGGTGTAGGGTGTGGGGGAGTAGTTAATGGTTGGGTAGTCAGCATGGACAATTCCTGGCAATGTGGAAATGAATCATCCTTAATGTCTGCAGAACTCTAATAAATCAAAAGAAAATGTTACTTCCACTAGGAAGTCAGAATCACAATTGATTGCGTCAAATCAATTGGGCCAGTCCTGAAGTGGTAAACAGTGGCGTGGAAGTGCTTTTGGTACAAGGAAAGAGTGGCACATTTTAAGGCATTCAACAATAGTGATAGGAAGAAATACTTACGTACCTGTAACAAGCATTCTCCATCAGGATTTGAGTAATAATCCCCAACCTTGGGACTAGATGATTGACTGAACTTGGTCAGTATTTTTTCCCCAAGAACCAGGTCATAAAGGCAAATGTATGTGGACATACTCAAACATACATCTTTCCCTCATAGTTATCTTTTATCATTTAAAAAAAAATTATATTAATGTGTGAATGTCATCAATGTATATACATTCTCCCATGGGGAATGAAAAATCTGTGTATCATCTCTCTTGTGTATCTTAACATAAAAGTTGGCTGCCTTCACATATGCTAGTAAGAAGTGTGTTATGTATCTCTGATGCTCGAAAGCTGACACATAGCTGATGTTAAGCAACAAAGCTCCCTTATGAAGGACAAATGCCACATGGGTGAAGCTGGGACTTTGTCCACATTGGCAGCATTCGCTTGTATACTAGAATGCTTTCTGATCCGTGATGGTGTTCAGGATTCTTCTTCTAACCCTCTGTTTCTTTTGCCTCAAAAACAGACAGCATGTATCCTTTGTCAGATCGGTTAAAACTCCATCTTGATTGGGCTGCTTTGAAGGAGGTTTTGAAGGAAAAAAAGTCTTTGTGACGTCTGGAACGTAGTATTGATAGAAATGTCAGATGGCATACTTGAAATTCCAATAATGAAGAATGATAATCAATGTGACTACTTGTAATTTTTTGAGATAATTGATTTTTTAAATAAAATATGTCTTCTCTCTTTCAGAATTACTATCTATGATACTTTCAATTCAAATAAACATAGCCCTGTATATGTTTTGGCTCTGACAAATCCTCCCATTATTTCAGTCCTAATCATTTTTTCTATCAATTTTAAACCTACACAGGAAAGGAAACCATCTTTCCCCAATTAGTATGCTATACAGAACTGTGAAAATCAATATAGCTTTATCCTAGTAACACCTCGTTTCTTATTTTCCCAGCTTGAAAAATTGTATTATATTAAAGAATGCTACTTAGTGATATCTTCTGGAACACAGAAATAAGGAGAAAGTGTTAACTTGTACCTGTTTACCTTCATGTTTGTATTTGGGGACAATCAAATATATAGATTCCTCAAGGATGAATCATTGCCACAAGGAACTATAAAAGCTCCACCATTATCTCAATTTCAGAAATCTTATTTTGATAGTAGCCCAAAAATTCCACTTCCCATCTTGTATAAGAGACCACTGAAAGATGGATTACATTTCTTCTTCCCATCCCTATTAACATACGAGTCAAACTTCTGAGTGATACAAAATACCAGCCAGTATTTACTCCTTTAAATGGACACCAGGAAATGATGAAAGTTCAGAAGGTAAAATAGCAGCTCACACTTTCCTGAAGAAATTGTGCTGGAATCCTGTCAGTTCCAGATACCCAGCTTGTAGCAGTTGACCTTCAGATCCAAAACAGATGGAAGCACACAGCAACCTGTCAGAGTCATACTATCAATCTCATTGAACCACAGAGGCCTCTTTGAACTAATAAATTCTAAGTGTTGGGTTTTGATTTTAGGTCTAAGATAGTTAGGAGAATTCCTCTGGAATTGGAACATCAGCCCATGATGGGATCTGGCAGTGAACCTGAGTCCCAGGCTGCTTACCATGTTCCTAAAGAGAAAGAAATATAATTTCTCTATCAGCAGAATGAATTTTAAATGTTCTCTCACAACTTCTACTAATTTTGATCCAAGACCTGTATTTACATCAGCTCATGAGTCAGGTGAAATCTGTTAGAAAAGCCTAGGCCCCTGATGGGGAACCCGTGGCATGCATAACCATATCTGCCGGCATGCAACCCATAAGCCGCAGCGCACATGCAAGTGCCGGTCAGCTGATTTTTTTGTCTTCTGGAGGGCGAGGGGAAGCTGTTTTCATTCTCCCCAGACTTCAGGAAAACTTCCGGACCCTGGGGAAGGTGAAAAACAGCCCCAAGGGCCAACTGGAAGTTCGGAAACAATCTGTTTCCGGCTTCTGGAAGACCTCTGGGGGCCCAGAGGAGGCCGTTTTCACCCTCCCCAGGCTCCACGAAAGCCTCCGGAGGCTGGGGAGGGCAAAAAACAGGCCCAAAGGGTCAACCGGAAGTTTAGAGACTTGGGGTTGCTTTGCATTATGGGTGCTGGCACGCTACTGCGTGCACTCCCTAGGTTTTTTGGCACCCAAAAACAAAAAGGTTAGCCATCACTGGCCTAGGCCTAGGCCAGGTCTTGTGGTCTGGTCTGCATCTCAACATATAATAATAAAATTATGCCCAAGTGCATGAGCAAATGTGGCACACATTTTCTCAAGTGAGAGTTAAGAACTTGAATTAAAATGTAAATAGGGAGGAGTGAAAGTTAAGGGGTAGTAGAATTCAGAAGGCATTTTTGACACGGTTGATGTCCAAACTTACATGGCAGCTGCAACCAGAGCAACTGACCTTAGAAGATCGTAATAATACTTAGAATGTTTGCTGTATAGTAGCGATTCACAACACTGTTAATGTCTACCCCTTACTCAATGCTTACAGAATCACTTGCTGAACTGAAAACATTTTGAATTTTACACATATCATTTAAACATTATTATTGGTTATTGCTGTTGGTATGTAGACATATAGCTCCACTTGCAATCTTATCAGTTTTTATTCCTCCAGTTGAGAATGCCTCTCAGGCATTCATAAAAGATGGGGGACACTTTGAAAGCAGCCTGGGATGATTAGTAACACATGGCTGATTTAAGTTTTTGGAAAAAAAATTCTGAAGTCCAGCTTTCAAAAGAATTTCAAAAGATTTAACTTCCTTAGTTCCTGCATCTCTGTATAAGGGAGCAAAGGCATCTTATGAACAGATGCATTGGATTTCAAGAAATTTCTAGTTCGTTAACTACTACGTTTCCCTAAAAATAAGACAGGGTCTTATTTTCTTTCAACCCCCAAAATAATCGCCTTATTTTCAGGGAGGTATAATTTTTGGGGTGACGGAGGCAGCGAACGTGGTCACCTCAGGGCTGCCGCTGTGTTGCAATATTTTGGGGAGGGCCTATTTTTAGCACATGTGCTCAAAAACCCAATTAGGTTTATTATTCGGGAAGTCTTATTTTCAGGGAAACGATATTTTCCCAGATTCTGTAACATATACTTGGGAATAGCTTATGCCCACAAAGAAATTCCTCCTGGTAGCATTCCAGTTACAAAACCAGTTCCACCAATATTCTGTTTTTGTCCTTTTCCAATTAAATGAAAGTAGTTGCACTTTTTTTATCATCACCACTACAATCATCATCGTGTCCCATGCAATTGGCAATATGATATGAGAGGATGGGCAGGCAATATAGATACTATTATTATCAACTGCATATAAATGCTGTAAAACACCATAGAGCAGAAGTGTCAAACTGGATTTCTTTGAGGGCCAGATCAGCATTGTAGTTCTCTTCTGCGGGCTGGCTGGGTCGATGGCGTGGGAGATGGATGCCTCCTGTAGCACCTTGCTGGTCAAAACAGGCATGGGGGGGGACTACGTGGATGGTCTCCTGCAGCACTTTGCCAGCCAAAATGGGGTGCGGAGGGGCCATGCGTGGCCCCCTGCACCACATTTTGACTGCCAGAAGCACCACAAGTCAGTCCTTTGCTATTTCCAGGCTGGCCCCACAGGCCAGATTTAAGCACCCTGTGGGCCGGATCCAGCCTGTGGGCCTTGAGTTTGACACCCCTGCCATAGAGCCTCCTTCTTGGTCGCTTCCCCTCACCATTACCAATCCCCCCCCCCATTTGCATGTATTATTTTTTTCAAAGTTAATGAGCAGATTTGGAACCTGAACTTCTGACTGCATGTTGCACTGCTGCCAATTTCCATTATTAATGGGATGACACCATTAGATACAACTTCATCATAATGTGTTGGGTTTAAGGGTAGCAACTGAGACAGACAAGTGGTCTTCCATTTACCTAGCAGGGATATTATTCTACTTACGGCCAAATTCACTGCTGCTGTTGCTGCTGCACAATAAAAGAAATGGATCAAGATCTGAAGTGGTTGACAACACAGGTAGTCTTCAACCTACGACTAAGTCCAACATTTATGTTGCTAAGTGAGACATTTGTTAAGTGAGTTTTGCTTCATTTTGTAAACTTTCTTGCCACAGTCGTTAAGTGAATTATTGCAATTGTTAAGTTAGTAACACAGTTGTTAAGTGAGTCTAGCTTTCCCATTGACGTTGCTTGTTAGAAGGTCGCAAAAGGTGACCACATGATCCCAGGACACTACAATCATCCAAAAAATAGGAGTAACTTGCCAAGCATCTGAATTTTGATCACATGATCACGGGGATGCTGCAATGGCTGTATGTATGAAAAATGGTCATAAGTCACTTTTTTCAGTGATGTTGTAACTTTGAACAGTCACCAAATGAACTGTTGTAAGCTGAGGACTACCTGTACAGGTTTCACATCATTCTAATTCTCAGCCAGCTGCCCCTACTAAGAGCTGGTAGAGATACTACTCGCTACTTTAAAGAGCTGCTTCAATATCTGACATGCTGAACATTTATTAGACTTGTAATACTAAGTTTAATATTGCAACATCCTCAATAAATAAGTAAATCAAAACAGAGAAAAGAGAAAGCACAAACGTCATTAACTGTACTTTAATGACACCGTAAGTCAGTGGAGTGGAGCAGTGAGGCCAGAGATGGAGAAAGCAGGAGATGGCTCCCAGAAAGGACCTGCTTTGTGCCTTGACTGGCTCTATGGCTCCCTTTTTGAGGATCAAGGACACCAGGTGACAGAACGGGGTGAGAAGGGGAGTATGAAAATTCTACCACTCCTTCTTTTACCAAAAAAGGGTGCACCTGATTTGTTGCCTTTCCTAGTTTGGCCAATGAGGTACACCGTATCACAACTAGTAGCAAAGCAAGAGCATATGAACTTGCAAAACTGCTGCCAAAGAAGAGTCAGGAGACATTTACCATTCATCTGAGTGTGACTATGTATGTACGTACATATGGGCTGGAAGAGTCATATTATAAGCATTTCAATTTACATTGTACATTTGTACAACAGTTCAGGTGGAATGGCCCCGAATAAACCAAATATATATATTTATATATATATTTATAGACTTTGTATGTACAAATATATATCCATCTTGACAGATATATCTCAACTCTTTGAAAAGGATAAAAGCTAATAACATCTGTCTTTGCATGCACAGCTGTGAATTCTGTTCTGCTCGGTTGAATCCTGTTTAAAATGCTATGGGGAGCTGCAATCTACCCCCTAGAAATGTGTCCTGCTAGGGGAATTTTTCTCCCTTTTCCTTGCCTTTGTGGGGGAGGAGGGGAATAAGTCCATGGTGCTGGTGAAGAAAAACTCCTCATGGCCAGATTCCACCTCCAAAACACACTACAAGGATATACTTTTATTGCTAATCAAACAACCATGGATAGGGAGGGCATTACCCAAACAATCTCACCACTATGGTTTTCCTTCTGACCAAAGCCAAATGAAGCAATGCTTTGCTCTTCCACTGTCGGTAAGTTGCTCTTTGCCCAGAGGAAGTCAAGGAAGGGAGGGAGGGAGGGAGGGAGGGATGGAATGAAAAATAGGCCCAGGTACCAGCAAACGTGTCATGGGAAAGGGATGAGAAGTGCAGGAGCTCTGAAGATTCCAGAAAACCAAAAAAAAGGGCTTTCAGGAGAAACAGAAGGATGTCCCTTGGTTGATCTGCAAGGAGAAGCAGCTTG